AAAGAATAAGTGTATCATATTTATTTAGATTTACATGTTTGGATTGCAAATTTTTCCAAAAAAATTGTTACTTTTTCCGTGATCACATTTTTCAATCATCTTTCTACCTTACATATGTCAAATCGTTTTCAGAAAATAGTAATCCAAACGAGATTGAATTTGAAACTCGTAGTATAAAACCTATTTACCAAATATCCCTTAAACTTTAAACAGTTTTTTTCTTTTGAAGGATAAAACTTTAAATAGTTAATGCAAGAAACATTTGGGGTCTATCGTGTTGGTAAATTCAAATGTGAGGCAAAAAGTGGAGCTGTGTGGAATGGATCCTTGTATACCGTCTAATATCTTGCAGTAATTGAGCAAAAGTTGTGGACTACATAAAAATGTAAAGTAAATCGTCAAAAGCTGTAAATCAAGCTCAAAGAGTCAAGACCAGTAGGAGTAGTACCAAGGAAGCAATCCCTTTCTCCTAAGTAAAAAAATATATATCCTTTCCGAATCCATATTCCAGAATCGAATAATGATCCTTTATTTATTCACTATTATATATGTTCAATACTTTAGGGGGCGCTTGGTTCAAGCTTAGGAATTGGAATTGTAATTGGAATCATACAAGAAAACTTAGTATGGGTTTTGGACAAAGATATGATTACAAATGAGGGTGCTTGGTAAATATTGGTAAGAAATGGGTATCAAATTTAATAATCAATTTTTTGCTTTTAATTTCTTTTTTCTTTTCATATCTTTCTTCTTCCTTGTTCAAATACTTATCCCAATTCCCACATACCCATCCACCATATATATATATTCATATATAAATATAAATATTTTGTTTAAAATATATTTATAAATATATTTATATTTATATTTATATAAATATTTTATTTATTATATTATATAAATTTATAAATATATTTTATTTCAATTTTTTATAATATGTATATTAATATATATAATATGTATATTTCAATTTGTATATTTCAATTATGTATATTAATATGTATATTATATATATTATATCAATTGAAATAAATATTATATATTTATATATAAATATTTTTGTTTAAAATATATTTATATATATTTATAAATATATTTATATTTATATAAATATATAAATATTTTTATTTTATATATATTTATATAAATATATAAATATATTTATCTCAATTTTGTTTATAATATGTATATTAATATATATTAATATGTATATTTCAATTTGTATATTTCAATTAATATTTATATTTTATTATATATAATTATATTAATATTAATATGTATATTTCAATTATGTATATTAATATTAATATGTATATTATATATATTATATCAATTGAAATAAATATATATTTATATATAAATATATATTTTGTTTAAATATATTTATATAAAATATATTTCAATTTTTTATAATATGTATATTAATATATATTTAATATATATTAATATACATATTATAAAAAAATTGAAATAAAAAATATTATATATTTAAATAAATAAATATTAATAAATAGAAACAGAGCTAGTATATATTTAAAAAAATACCAAAAATAAAAATTTTTTTTTAAAAGATTTTGGAATCAAATGTGGGATTCAACAAAACCCTCCAATCTAGTTGGGGATTGAGAGTGGCTGATTTTTCATGATTCATTCCAAGATTTCAAAACCCATACCCATTAGCCAAGCAACAATTTTGGGACTCAATCCAATTCTTGATTCCTATACCCTCCAACCAAGCACTTGAGTAATGGATCACGGAATCCAGCACCAGTTGATTAAGAAGTTGCTCAGTAATTCTTCTTTACGATGTGGAACCGACGCGAATCTGTAATCTTCTTGGTCTCCAACACTGCACACTTTTGTCCTTTTATTTCAGTTGTTTTCTATTCTACATATTTCAAGGATTAATTTCACTTTACACCACTCAATTATGCCTGAATTCCTACTTAAACCACTGAACTTTAATTACTTTATTAAAGTATAATTTGTCTCACTTTGGTCTTTTAATGTACAAATTCTGTCCTATTTTAATTCCTAAATTATAAAATCTATTTCACTTTAATCCTAAAGAACGATATTTGTCTCACTTAAATATAATATCTGTCTCACTTTTGGCATTAATTTTACCAAAGTGGGACAAAATTTTATTTTAAGGACAAAATGTCTCATTTTAAAGTTTAGGAATCAAAGTAAAAATCTGAGCATGGGTAAAAGGTGAAAAGTGGAATTAACCCTATATGAATTAGAGGAATGTGTTTTATTTTTTATTACCATTGTTTGGATGTATTATTTGAAATATTATTTGGAATAATTACTTTAGTACTTTTTGTGATGTGATGTATGTGAGATAAAAAGGTGATTGGGAATATAAAAAAGTGGGTTAAAAAATGTGTTTATAATGCAAGCGAAATATTATTTGAGATAATTTGTTATCCAAACAAACTCTTTTTTTCAACCTAAGGTAGACTAAGTGCTTAGGAAAGTTGCCAAGCCGTGTGTTCTTAGCTGATGTGTCGCTTTGTGGTTGGTGAAAAAGTTGTAGTCCTCCTCCTCCACGTGGTGGATGCCTGCTTTGTGATGTTGGTTGTGTTTTGACTAAATAGATTGTGTGTGTTTTGACGGGCTGTGTTTTGACTGCTTGCATGGAACCGAAAAAAGGATAACCTGCTTGTATGGAACACAAGCAATGGGTTATAGTGGTCATAATTATAATAGCTGATAATGATGCTACTGTCCTTCCAATTTTACCTAATGTCAGCTTTTTGGTGAGATTAGAGTGTGTATTTGGTCAATGTGACAGCTCATTAAGTTACCTATTTACCCTTGTTTTAAATGTTTATTTACATTGTCTTTTTGTGAGTTGCCTTAGTTTAGTTGTAATTGGGTTATAGATGTCAAAATAACGCTTAGTTACTGTGCACTTTTTAAAACAGGCCTCTGTTCTTTGCCTCTGCTGGTTATCAACGTCCTCCTTCCGTGCGCTACCGTCTATACCGTCTGTCCTGCATTCTGCAGCTGCTATCATGCTTAGTGGTTGGCTTCCGCATTCGGTCACCATTTTCCCTCTCTCGTTCTGTTGTTTCATTTCATCATCAACTATAAGGTTGGTTTGCTCATTTTTTCCCTTTGCTCGTTCCTCTGTTCTTTTGAATCCTTCGTTTCTGTTCGGCAGTCTCGCGATAATTGTCTGGGTCAGTTTTTTGCTTATCGATTTATATGTTTTTTTGCTATTTCTGTTTATGAGCTGTGGCAGCATTACCTATTTTAATCACTGACTTTGTTGTTTTTTCCCTTTTCCCTGCTAAAAAATGCTGCTGTATATATGCCTTTGGTTTCCTGGTAAGGTCATTGTTTTAAAAAAAATAATTCCCGCCTTTCTATTTTGCTCTCTCCAGTATCTCACCTTTCTGTTGTTGTCGTTTTTTCCATCTTTTGCAGCTTTATTTGATGTCCGTGTTTTCGGATTTTTGCTGCCATTTTCGACCTGCTGGGGAGCCCGCTGTGGACCTGACCTTGTGCTATATCTTATGCCAGCAATTTCCTTGCAGGTCAGATGCTTGTTTTGTGGTTTTGTTTTCCTCTTCATTCCTTGTGCCTGCATTAGTTCATCGCTGTTTTTTCCCTCTTTCCTGGTCATTCCGCACTTCATGTATTTTCTCCAACATGCATGGCTTCTTCGCATCTTTTTGCTTCGTTCATCGAATTAATTGGAGTTGTATCTGCTTCCTCAAAAAATTTAAAAAAAAACCTTTTAGACCATAGGGAAAAAGACGGCTACAATGACAGAGCAGTACAAATTCTACCATGCAAAAGAAGCAGCTCCTCTGGCTATCACTCGACAGATTTCTACAGCCTATGGAATCCCAAATTGAATAAACAATGCACAGACAAATCAAACCATAGGCAAACAGAAGCCAACCTGACTATCACTCTCAAAATTCTTTTTTAAGCATTGTCACTAGGAAAGCGCATGTTGCATTCTTAGCCTTAATCAAACACCCTTTACATGCCAAGAAAAGTCAAAATCAGTCACGTAATACTCTGAACATACCCTTTACTTGCGCTATACACTGAAATCTAACTTCTGAGTTTACATGCCACAGCTAATTCAAAAGGCCATTTGCACATTGAGGAAAATTGAACTACTGATTAGTCATGCATGCACCAATCGCGTGAGGCTAGAGTTGCTCTTAATACTTACACTTCTGATGCTTTCTGAACAGAATAGAACTATTAGAGCTATTTAAGCAATCTTATAACTTACAAATCCACAGCCTAGATTTACTAATTCAAATCCAGCAGGCAAAGCACTGAGAAAATAAACCAACATCATGCATGCAACCAGCTTCACCACTAAACAATAAGTGATATTGTACAGTCCAAAGCTAAACTCAAATACTAAAACCATTAAAACTCCCTAATAAAATCACCGACAGAGATAGAGAGAGCAAAGAAAAATATAAAAGTCTTAGGACTTTAATGATCATTAAACACACGCAGTGCTTTAAGCACTATGCAGGATGAGTAGTGATTCAACTATCAGCATTCTGACCTTCCAACCACATGTAGCGTGAGATGCTTTCTGATGTAGCTTCTGAGTCCGTAGGGAGGGTTCTTTGAATGAGCTCATGCTTTCAACAATAAGCATCCCACACTATTTGAGCATATGAATTCACGTGTGTTGTGTTCTTTCTTTTGGATTCTACAATGTCCTTTTATGCTCATTCTTGGTTCTTACAAAGTCATCGTGTTTGGATTGTTCAATTCTTTGGATTTTTCATGGTTTGGTTAGTATTTTTCTCTGTTGCAACTTGGTACTGTGGCTGCTGTTCTAGCAGGCCTTCATCGCTTGCTTGTATAATTTCTTATACCCTGTTCTTTATAGCAGCTCACGCGTTTTGAGCTTTTCCCTTTACGTTCTACTATGCTCTTTTATACTTATTGTCAGTTCTTACAAGGGCATCATATCTGAATTGTTACTCCTTAGTTTTTTTTTTGAGATGGATAAAAATGCTATGCGCCGGAAGCGTTATGCAGAAATGTCACCCACTGCCAAGGCTGCACTTTCACGTCGGAGGCGTGAGGCCAGGCTTCTTAAGAAAAAGAATAAATCATCGCGCTCTTACCTTCGTACCGTGCCACTCGGGCATGTTGAAACTGGTGTTTGTTTCTCTAATTCAGCTCCTACGCGTAACGACTCGTTAGCAGCTTGTCATGGTCAGGTTGTCGATAGTCGTTCTGTTGCGCTTCAAGAATCGTTGAACTATACGTCTGCCGCTATGCCTGCCTCGCTCTGTCTATCTAGTCAAGCTTGTTCCTCTCCTATTGTCCCACATTTAGTGCAATATAGTTTGGATTCTGAAGGTATATATACCATGGCACTATTTTAGTTACCTGCCCCAAAACCATTTATAGTTATTTCATTGTTCTCCCCATGTCTGCATTTTGGCCTGCCTTCATTTTCTGTGTGCTCTTCTGATGCAAACTAGCCCATCTATTTGTACACTTTGCAGCTCGTCTCCTGAATCGTACACTTCACTGTCGGCAAGCTGACCCACAAAGTAGTTCTCCAAAACAGAAAGAGCCGGGCTCTCTCTCCCTTCATCTTTCAGCTACTGTTCTCTCATTCATGCGAATGCCTTATCTAAAGCATTGGATCATCCTCCACATAACATTGTTATAGCCTCGAGCCAGGAACAGCAAACTTCTGATGCTCTGAGTAAAAATGCACATAATACCTCCACATCTGTTAACAATTTAATGATTGAAATTCTAAGTCCCCTCGATGCAGCTCCTTCAAATCACTTCTCCAGAAACTGTGTTCCTCCTTCTACTGCATTAAATCTCCCATCTAAAAGTACCTGCCAGTGTACAGGTATTGCAGCACTTAGAAATAGTTTCCCTTGTGTTTCTTCTTCACTTCCACTATTGCCGTCTTCTGTCTGCTATTTCTATATGCATAACACCATCTATGTCTCTGTCTCGCTACAGCTTCATGCAGTGGCAGAATTCCGTGTAGAAAACGTCCCCCACGAAATTGTTCTGACAAAAAGAAAAAAACTGAACTTCTGGGATCCCATTGTTTACCTCATGACCCTATGCATGGGTCAAATCTTAAGTCCCTTGACTCTTCCAGTACTTCATGCTCAGGCCACTTAATTGAGCAGTTTCCATCTTCTTCTATTTCATTCAGTCCTCAGTCTTTTTGCTCTACTCAGCCTACAGGTATTACTCGTTCATTTTGTTGATCCTTTTTCTTCCCTTTCGTTTTCAACCTGTACCTTTTACAAAAAAAAAATATCTCTCTTCTAAAGCAATACTTTGTGTTATGCCCGGCTTATTAGAATTTGCGCTCCTGCGCTTATAGATGCCCTGTTTCTTTAAGAACAAACAGTTGTTCCTTCTAAAAAAAATTACAACGGTTTGCCAGGCAACACGAATGCTACCAGCAAATCATCTCGTCCTCATATTGGTGTTACAGCTGCTACAACGAATCTTTCAAACGTTATATTGACAACAAGGAGGCAATCAGGTTGCCCTTTCTTTGTTTGTCATATTTGTGACCTTTCCCCTCGTATTCCCTTCATTCTGTGCTTCTTTCAGATTTCCTTGCGAACATCATTCCCATTATATAGCTTAAATTGCAGGGACACTTACTGAACGCCGTCGTTCAAAAAAATCTAGGATTGATGAAATTGCTAAAGAGTCTTTATTGCTCCCTGATGCTCTTGATTGTCAGTATTGTGGAGCTAAAAGATTCTATTTGGAACCCCCTAGCTTTTGCTGCTCCCAAGGAGAAATTTCTATTGTTGCTCCTCCAATGCCTTACGCTCTAAAGCGTCTATTCATAGGAGATGATGAAGAATGTGAGCATTTTAGGAAATTATCTCGCACATATAACAATAATGTGTCTTTCACTTCATTTGCTGCAAAGTATGATCCAGAATTGACAAGGAATACAAAGGGAGTATATACCTTTCGTGTCCAGGGGCAGGTTTATCATTTTTTGAATAGTTTATCACAGCCTGATGATAGACCCTGTGGAATCCACCTCTACTTTTTTGATACCGATGAAGACTTAATCAGGCGAGTCGCTGCTTCTGACAAGCTTCGCGAGAGCACTTTGAAGCTTTTGATGGACATACTTTCTAATAATCCTTATGCTAGATTCTTTAAGGACCTAAGTGATGTCCCAGATCTTGAAAAGCATAGTGTTGTCCTTAACTGCTTTCCTGGCCTTGACCAGCGCATTTATAATCTTCCTTCTGCTTCTCAAGTCGCTGCTATATGGACTGAAAATGATGATGAATCAGTCGATAGGCAACCGCATATTCTCGTATATAGCCGATCAAATACTGCTCACAAGGTCCAGCATTATTATGCTTGTTATGATCCTTTGCAGTATCCTCTCTTATTTCCACGTGGTGAATCTGGATGGCACCATGGAATTAAACGAGCTTATAAAAGAAAACGAACTGATCATTCCTTTGATGAAGAGGTTATCATTGATCCCTCTTCTGTGCATGAACCATCTGAACTTATGGATTTAGAAAAAAGAGGCAAGTACATGTCCTGCATTTTATAGTTTTTCAGCTTACCGGTTACGAAATAAACTTCTGTTTACGTGTAGATTTTTTTCATTTCCTATAGCTGCTGATCATCGGAAAGAAGGATGAGCATACTGTATCGGCTAGAGAGTATTACTGCTATAGGTTCCAGATCAGGAAGAATGACGAATCTATGCTATTGCATACTCTTAGATTGCTGCAGCAATTTTCAGTTGATTCCTATGTCAAAATTGAAACATCACGCCTGGATTTTCAGCGCAAGAGGCAAAATGATATTCGGACAGAAATCCTTCAAGGAGTGCTAGATAGTGTTTCCATTGGTCAAAGCGAAGGCTTAAAAGTTGGCCGAAAAGTGATATTACCAGCTTCTTTTATCGGTGGCCCAAGAGATATGAGGCGACGATATCTTGATGCAATGGCATTGGTACAAAAATATGGAAAGCCGGATATTTTCCTGACCATGACATGTAATCCAATGTGGAAAGAGATTCAAGATAATCTGCAATTTAAAGAAAAACCTCAGGATAGGCCAGATCTTTTGTCTAGAGTGTTTAGAGCAAAATTTGAAATGCTTAAGGCTGAACTTTTAGACAAGAAAATTTTTGGAGAAGTCGCTGCATGCGTTTATGTTATTGAATTCCAAAAACGGGGCTTTCCTCATGCTCACTTATTATTAATCTTGAAGCCGCAATTTAAATTGCTTAATCCTGAGTCATACGATAGAATAGTTTCTGCTGAGCTTCCTGATCCTAAGCAGTTCCCTCATTTGTATTCTCTTGTTCTTAAGCACATGGTTCATGGACCTTGCGGGCACATGGGTAAGAATAGCCCTTGTATGAAAGATGGTAGCTGTAAAAATCATTATCCAAAAAACTTCTGTGAACATACAACTCATGCCGAAGACAGCTATCCATACTATAGGCGGCGGAATGATGGCAGCAAAATAACTGTTCGCAGGTTTGAGCTTGACAATAGATGGATCATTCCTTATAACCCATATCTTTTGGCCTTGTTTGATTACCACATGAATGTGGAAATCTGTTCCACTTTGAAGCTGGTTAAGTATTTGTACAAGTACATCTTCAAAGGACACGATCTTATCAGCTTCAAAATTATATCTGACGATTCCCGTGCCGATGTCGATGAGATTAGAGAATTCTAGCAGGGAAGATGGATTTCGCCCCCGAGGCTTTTTGGCGCATCTTTGAATTTAGGCTAAACGAGATGACTCCAGCTGTCTATACTCTACAGGTTCACCTACCTGGCCAGCAACTCATCACTTTCAACAAAAACTCGGACCTTTTACAGCTGATGAGGAAAATTGATTTCTCAAAAACCATGCTGACTGAGTTCTTCAAAATGAACAAAACAAATGAAAGGGCTGAAACCTTGAAGTGCTTTTATAGAGAATTTCCAGAGCATTTTGTTTGGTCTTTTAAATATAAAGCTTGGACTGAGAGAAAGCGTAAGAAAGCCATTGGAAGGCTAGTGGCAATCAGCCCTCATGAAGGTGAGAGATACTACCTTAGACTACTGCTCACTCATGTTCGAGCACCTACGTCATTTGATGACCTCTTAACTATTAGTGGCCAAAAAATGGATTGCTTTAGAGATGCTGCTTTGGCCCTTGGGCTTTTACAGTCCGATACATATCTACAATACACTCTTGAAGAAGCAGCTCTTTTTCAAATGCCATCCTCTTTGAGACTCTTATTTGCTACTATTCTTGTTCATTGTTCTCCGACAGATCCTCGATTTCTTTGGAACAAATTTCGCTAGAACTCTCTGCAGATTACCACCGATCTCACCACCTCTGTTTTTATACGGCTAAAGAAATTAGAAATAAGGCCCTGCAGGAAATTAAAAAAATGGTCGAACAAATGGGTAAGAGTTTTGCTGACTACCATCTAACTACAGACATTCCACCAGCTGTTCACTATGATAAGCTAACAAAGAGATTGAATGTGAAAGAAATATTGAAGTTCTAGCAGAGGATCTAATAATGTCTTCGAGGTTAAATATTGAACAACAGCATGCGCTATGATTTAATTCTGCAGTCAGTTTTCTCTCCCATTGGCCAGAGTTTTTTTGTTGATGGCCCTGGGGGAACTGGTAAGACTTTCTTATATCGGTCCCTTCTAGCTACTTTGAGATCCCAAGGCCACATTGCTATTGCAGTTGCAACGTCGGGTGTCGCAGCGTCTATTCTTCCAGGAGGAAGAACGGCCCACTCTAGATTCAAGATGCCACTAGATTTTTCTAGAAATAAAACCTGCCAGATTAGTAAACAGGGCAGTATTGCAAGATTGCTTTTTCAATCAAGGTTAATCTTGTGGGACGAGGCTTCAATGGCAAAACGAGAAATTGTTGAAGCCTTTGATGGTTTGCTTAGGGATATAATGGACTGTGACCTTCCATTTGGAGGAAAAGTAGTTGTTTTCGGTGGCGACTTCCGTCAAACTTTGCCGGTTATCAAACAGGCAACAAAACAGACTCTTATCGAATCCAGTCTTCCTAACTCTCCTTTGTGGCCTAAGCTCCAGAAGCTGCATTTGACACAAATATGCGAGCCATCTTAGATCCAGCGTTCTCAGAATTCTTATTAAGAATAGGTGAAGGAAGAGAGCCTGTTGATATAGATGGCGAAATAACCTTATCTTTTGAGATGGTCATTCCTTATACTGACAAAGAGAAATCTTTGAACAGGTTAAACAATTTGCCCTTTTGAATGCTAATTTTATCAAGCCTTTCTTCTATACTTCAATATTTATATATTCTCACTTAGATTTGTTACGAACAGGTTGCTGGAATTTGTTTTTCCAGATTTAACAGCCTATTTAAAAGATCCTTATAGTATGATCAATAGATGTGTCCTTGCACCAAAAAATACCTCAGTTGATGAAATAAATGACATGCTAATCAGAAGATTTCCTGGGAATCTTCATGTGTATGTCAGTTCTGATAGAACTGTTGATCCACGCCATCAAGGAGACTATGAAGATTTCTTGAATTCTCAAAATCCAAAAGGCCTTCCTCCTCACAAACTGGTGCTCAAAGAAAATGTCCAATCATGCTTATGAGAAACCTCAACCCTACTGAAGGATTATGCAATGGTACACGACTCATTTGCAGAGAGCTAAGACAAAATACTATCTGTGCAGAGATAGCTTTTGGCCAACATCAAGGGAAAAGAATCTTTCTTCCTAAAATTCCTATACAAGTATCTGATAATGACAAGAATGGCCTGCCGTTTATAAGGACACAATTTCCTGTTCGTGTTTGTTTTGCCTTGACAATAAACAAATCCCAAGGTCAAACACTAGATTATGTTGGAATCTACCTCCGTGAGCCAGTTTTTTCTCACGGTCAACTATATGTTGCTTTATCTAGAGTTAAAACTTCTGCAGCAGTCAAAGTCCTTATCCTGCCTGGAACTTTTGATGGCATAAAAACTGATTGCAAGACTAGAATGTTGTCTTTGAAGAAATACTTCACCTCACTGCATGATATTTCTACATGTTAGAGTTATTTCCATTTAAGGTTTGTTAGCCATAATTATTATTCTATTGTTATGATGCCTGCAATACCGTTCTTAATTTATACTAACATTTGATAGATTTTTCCTTGATTTTTTCCCATGTAGCATGGACAAGTTCTTATCCATAAAAGAAATTATACCTGATATGCAAGAGTGGTCATGCAAAGTTATTGTTCAGGAAAAACAACAGGTTACCCAATCACTGTCGACACCGACAAAGAAACAAAAATTTATTTTTGTTGATGAACAGGTAAACAAGTACAGCCTCTGCATTTAATCTTTCTTTATTTTTTGTTCATGCAGAAGTAGATAAATACAACCGCTGCATTCAATCTTTCTGTTTATATTACGTTTATATTCACAACTGATTCATTCTGAAACTTTTTCTTTTATGAAATAGGAATCAAAGGTTGAAGGCATTATTTTCAACCATGATATTCCTAGGGTCGGACCACTCTTGCAGGTCTACAAAAAGTACAGAATTTCGAATGCTCTGGTTAGACCAATCCACCCAAAATATCAGACGGCTGAACTGAAAGTACAATGGATCATCACAAGTAAAACTGTTATTGAACAGGATCCTGATGATGAAGATATGATGCCTGTGAAATTTAACTGCACTCAATTCCAGACTTGGCACAGTTCATGGATCATAGGGATAAATCTGTCGGTATGTATGTTGTGTATTACACATATATCATGAATTTCAACTCAGAAAATCTTTTACAAGATCATTTCGCTTTGCCAGATGTCCTTGGAATAGTTATTGAGGCACAGGACACAAGAATCATTAATAAAGATTTCAAAGAATCTGTTGTCCAAAAATTCGTCCTTGTCAATGAACAGTAATGTTTCTTTCTGCTGCTCTCCAAACTCTTACTTAGTTCTCTCCTCATTTTCTGTATATCCTTTGTATGTCTTGACAACTGCTTATTGTCGTCTTGTTAGATCACAAGCTGTCATACTTTCGATGTGGGATGATTTCATCAGGAATGAAGGACAACAAATAATAGCTGAATTACACAACTACCCTGTCATCATATGTCGCAGATTGAAAGTTAGCAACTATAACGGTAATTTTACCTCTATACATCTTTATTTTAATTTCATTTGCATACAAAATTTATTCATTCTTAATCTTATAGGAGTTACACTGTCAACATGGTTTGATTCTGCAATCCTCGTTGACCCTCCTGTGCAACAAGCAAGAGAATTAAAGAACTGGTACTGATTATTTATATACCACATAAGCAATCAATCATCTATGATCACTTCCTTCCATTACTTTTTTCCATTTCCTCTATCATAGGGCGATGAGAAATACCAAGCTACTTGCAGCAATCGTTGATCAAAAAAGCTATATTAAGTATAACCCTGACATATCTGTGAAATCAGATCAGAAAATGACTTTAATTTCAAATGTCAGGCCATCACAAAAGGTTCCATGCTTTTTCGCCTATTCTGTCATTTAACTATCGATTTGCATATTAATATATGGGTTAACGCTGTGCCTTTCATTGCTGTGTTTTTAGAATGTATGGGTTAAAGCAAGGTTCTCTTTTCAGCACATATTCCAGAAATACTGGTATATGAGCTGTAAAAAATGCTGTCGGGGCACTGCTGCTGCAAATGGAGTTATTTTTATGTGCAACACATGCAAAGAAAAGCATCCTGCTCAGCCTAGGTAGTTACTTTGAAAGTCATTAACGTATCAGTTATGCTAGTCCATTATTTAACTCTTCTTTAATAGACATGCCTCCCTGAAATTTACATACATCTATAGGTGTCGCTTTGATATGGATTTATGTGATGATTCTGGTACGATCACAGCTTCTGTCTTTGGAGAACAAGCCGAAAAGCTGCTAACCTTCACTGCTTTTGAAATAATGGACCATTTTAGGCAGGCATGTTGTCCTTTAAAATACTGACTGCCACATTATTATTATTTCCATTTAACACTTAATGCAACAGACGTCTCCATTCTGCATATAATCCTTATCTGTTTACTTATTCTTCTCCTATACGTTTTCCTTCCATAGAACATTGAACTCCCTCTGGAGGTTGTCCATAAGGAGCTGGAGTCAAAGTGGTTTCTGGTACATATAAAATCAGTGCAGACTCAGATGGCTGATGCAAAGCAACGCTATACAATTATCTACTTTTCTGAAGTTCTCAATGCTGAATCCAAAAATGCTGAATCCAAAAATGCTACTTTGTTAATTGCTACAGCCTGACACTGCTGACACCATTACTTCAGGTATCAGGAGTTGAAACGTTACCTTATACATCACCTTTTTTGTTAACATAGGCTTTATTTCCTTCCCAATCCAAAAAATTATAGCTCATAAACATTAGTTCAAAAACTCCTTTGTTCTTCTGCCTCTACTAGACAATTGAATAGATACTTATCTATGATTGTTAGATATAGCCTATATAAACAGCTATTACTATTTTGCCTTTATTAACAAAATTCATTTTGCTACAGTCACTGCACCTGTTAAAGAAACCAAGCCAGCTTCGAAGACTAGAAAATGTCTAACTGAAAAATTTGATGCCTTAGCTGATGCAGCAATAACACTCCCCAGGCTGTCACTGAAGGCTCCAAGAAGAAGGCGAAGCTCATT